ATTGTTGGGTTTTTTTCTCTGTATCTATGAAGCGCCTTGAGGCGACTTATGTTGTGATTTGGCGCTATATAAATAAAATTGAATTGAATTGAATTGAATAGTGGAGCAAATGTGTTTTGCAGTTTCACATTCAGTTGTTTTGGAGGTTTGTTGTTAACCTTCCTATTCACGGTTGTCCAGTCCTGTTTCCTCCCGTATACAGGGGTAGAAGAGCTTCTCTGTCTCGTAGGAAGTGAAGGCCAGTCAGACATGATTTATGTCTTGGTTTTGAACAAAGACAGTCCAAGGGGGGATTATCACTTGAGGATTTATAATAATGCACAGAGTCTACTTTCTTGGTCATGTTATCTGTGCTCCTTAGCTGTGTACTAGCTTGCTCATCGCCATTGTTTTGAGTCATCTGTGGAGAGGGAAGGCATCTTGTTGCTAGTTAGCCTAGCGGTTAGCACCTTTCCAGGCTATTGAGGCTGTTCGGTGCCCAGACGCTGTAATCAGCTGTGTGTAGGCCACAGACACACGGAGCGCTGAAGATATGGTAACTATAAAAATGTTGCTGTTTCTGTTAAGAACACTTTAGTCCTAATGATCTATAAGCGTCCAGAAGCTCTTGCAGGTAAGCTCATACGGAAAAAGGGAAAAAATCAGCATAAAAATCAACAAAAGAAGCAAAGCATTTAAAGAGCAAAGAGAGAAAACATCCACACTCACAAAAGGGCAGGAGCATTCAGCACACCAGAGACTGTCTGCTGCCCTCTCTCGACCTCTACCAGATTGCTTACAGAGCAAATTAAACCATGTAGCATCACTATTGCTCTTCACTGAACACTGAGCCATCTGGAGAACAGGAAGACCTACGTGAGTACTACAGCTCAGCATTTAATACCATAATCCCAGACATCTCAGCACCAAACTGGACCACCTTCAGACACCCACCCACTCCTGGATCAAAGGCATCCTTACCAACCGGCATCCATCAGCTTACGTCTACACTAATCCGGATAAATTTGAAAATCTAAATCTAAAAACATCCGTGTCCACTCTATAGTTTTCCATTTGTGCATTCGACCTGCGTCATTTCCGTCTGCCGTTTATTTACTTTCTGGCTCTTTTGAAACATTGCAGCAAAATGTCGAGGAAAAGCACTGAGTTTTTTAAATGGACTGGCAATGAGGTGGACTTGTTGCTGCGAGTAACACAAAGGCCCAAAGTTGCTGAACAACAGCTCTGAGTAAACACTCCGTCTTCTGGAGCATGTACAAACTGATATTAATCTTTAATAGGGCGGTCAAAATTGAGAGCCAACAAAACAACTGCCGTACAATGCCTGTCATGGTCCCCGTGTCTGCCCGGCTGACTCAGGTTGGCTACATGTTTCTTGTTTACATCTACCTCTCTCACGCTTGCACACTTTACACTTTACACTTGCCGTGTCTCGCTGGGGCGGAGCTCATTGCGGGCTCCCGCCCCTGGCCCTCGCACCTGAAATTAATCACACACCTGTGTTTCATCGCCGAAACTCATCCACTACTTAAGGCAGTGGCTGGAAACATCTCGTCGCTGGACTATTGAGTAACCTCGGCAGTAAGCTCCGGAGTACTACTCTCTTGTTGTCTTTTCATATCGCTGACCCTTTGGATTAATCACTTGTTGTCTGTAAACAGGAATTCCGTTTCCCTGGAACCCTTGGTGTGCGGGCTGTCACGGTCTGGCTGGCAGACCGTGGAGTTGTGGAGAAAGTAGGGCCCAAACGCGAGACTCAAGTGAAGGACAGTGGATTTATTTATGGCGAGTGGACAGAAACGACAACTATATACAATTCAAGCACTGTGACTCCTGTGGCGATTCCTCTAAGAATCCCACACAGTGCACGTGTCCATAGCAG